TTTGACCAGAGCGGGGGAGAGAGAGAGAGAGAGAGAGAGAGAGAGAGCCACTACATCTAGGACTTGAACTGTGGTCAGCCATATGGGAGTGCCCAGCCACCTGCCGGTCCCTGTAACTTGCTTTTTCTTTTTTGCTAGTTTTCTTTTTTTGTTATAGGGTGTATACATCTGCCAGACAGACACAGTATGGTGGTGGGGAGGTGAGAAATCACCCTCCAAGGGGATAGCCATGTCACTGTCCCTTTGCTTCCATTCCCCTTGGAATTTTGAGCATGCACACACATGCATCCAGAGTGATTTTCAAACTGCCAGGTCTAGGATTTGAACTGCATAGTTGGTCATATGAGATCCAGCCACCTTAGCCTTCACGTCACCTGCAGGCCCCACTTGCTTTTTGTCAAACTCAGCACACTGTCTGAAATTCATCCATGCTGCTGTGTGTAGCAATGGCTCCCTCTTTACACTGGACATATTATTGCCCTGTACAATACCACAATTCATTTATCTCCTTGATGTTTGTCATATGTCCTAGTTTCTGCTCCTATAAACAAGTCTGCTGTGACTATTCCACTGTACTCATGGTGTACATGCTCAAGGGTCCCTCTAGGCCTATCACTAGGAATGAGAAGGTATGTGCATTTTCTTTTCTTTTCTTTTTTTTTAAGAGAGGTTTTTGCTATAGGCGCATGCAGTCACCAGAAAGACAGAGAGAGGCAGAGAGACAGAAAGTGAAAAATCACCCCCCAGGGGAGATGGCTATGCCACAATCCCTTCTCCTCCATTCTCCTCTCGAGATCTTGGGCAGACATGGACACACACCCGGCATGAGTTTAAGCCACTGGGTCTGGGACTTGAACCGCATGGGAGTCCAGCGACATAGCCATTACACCAACTGCTGGTCCTGATATGTACATTTTCAACATTACTAGATAATACCAAATTACTAATTCAGTCTCTTTAGCAGATATAAGATTATTCATGATTTTTATTTCATCTCCTGTCAGCTCTGGTAATTTGTGAACTTGTGTTTTTCTTTTTCTTATTGTTTGTTTATTAGTTTAGTTTTGCTGTAGGGTGTGTGTACTCACTGCAGAGAGACAGAAAGAGAGAGAGAAGGAAAGTGAGAAATCACCCCAGGGGAAATGGCCACACCACAACCTCCTCTTTTCTATCTCTTCTCTAGAGATTTTAGGCATGTACACACATATACCTGATTTTTTTTTTTTTTGAGAGATTTTCACTGTAGGGCGCGTGCGCTCGCCAGACAGACAGAGAGAGACATAGAGACAGAAAGCGAGAAGTCACCCCCCAGGGGGGATGGTCACGCCGCAATCCCTTCTCCTCCATTCTCCTCTCGGGATCTTGGGCACGCACGCACACGCGCCCGGCGTGAGTTTTAAGCCACCGGGTCTGGGACACGAACCACGGTCGACTACGTGGGAGTCCAACGACATAGCCATTACGCTAACTGCTGGTTCCCTATACCTGATTTATTTTTCAAGCCTCTGGGTCTAGAACTTGAACCATGCAGCCAGCCATGTGGGATCTAGCAATCTTAACCTCCATGCCACCTACTGGCCCAATTTGTATCTTTTAAGAAATGTATTCACTGGGGTCAGCAGATGGTGTAATGGCTACATCACAAGATTTCCACATAGTAGACCCCGTTCAAGTCTCGGACCCGGCAGCTTAAACTCATGCCAGGTGTGTGTGGGTGCGTGCCCAGAATCCCGAAGGGAGAACAGAGAAGGTATTGCAATGTGGCCCCCCTCCCCCCAGGGGGAAGGATTTCTCGCTTTCTGTCTCTCTGTCTCTCCAGTGAATGCATGCACCTTATGGCAAAAATCTCTCTTAAAAAAAAAGATGGGGGGACCAGCAGTTAGCGTAATGGCTATGTCGCTGGACTTCCACGTAGTCGACCGTGGTTTGCGTCCCGGACCCGGTGGCTTAAAACTCACGCCGGGCGCATGTGCGTGCGTGCCCAAGATCCCGGGAGGAGAATGGAGGAGAAGGGACTGTGGCGTGGCCATTCCCCCTGGGGGGTGATTTCTCGCTTTCTGTCTCTCTGTCTCTCTCTTTAAGTCTTCTCCTTCCCTCACTGAAGAAAATGTCAATCACAATGGCAAAAGGAATGTAGGGACCAGCAGTTGGCATAATGGCTATGTTGCTGGACTCCTATGTAATCGACTGTGGTTCAAGTCCCGGACCCGGTGGCTTAAACTCAACTAAATTGTTAAATTTAATGGCATAAGTTTCATGTAATATCCCCTATTATTTTTTTAATATCTGTAAGTTCTGTCATAACATCATTCTTAAATTCTTTTATTCCTGATATGTGTTTTTGTGTATTCTCTCTTTTATATTTTGATAAATATAGCTAGGGGGTTATAAAGTTTGCTAATCTCATCAAAGAACCACCATTTGGGCTTACTGGTTTTCTTCTATTATTTCACTGATTTCTGTTCTTATCTTTACTATTTCCATCCTTAATTTAGAACCAATTTGTTGTCCTTTTACTAGCATTTTATGGTAGAGACTTAAATAATTCTTTTTTTTTTTTTTTGAGAGGTTTTCGCTATAGAGCGCGTGTGCTCGCCAGACAGACAGAGAGAGACAGAGAGACAGAAAGCGAGAAATCACCCCCCAGGGGGGATGGTCACGCCGCAATCCCTTCTCCTCCATTCTCCTCTCGGGATCTTGGGCACACACACACGCGCGCCCGGCGTGAGTTTTAAGCCGCTAGGTCCAGGACACGAACCGCGGTTGACTACGTGGGAGTCCAGCGACATAGCCATTACACTAACTGCTGGTTCCCTAAATAATTAATTTTTAACCCTTCTTTTTAAATATAAATTCTACTTTAATAGTATCCCTCTAATTTTGAAATGTAAAAATCTGAGGATATTTTTGGAACAGACATTATTCCAATTTCCCAGGGGCATACGGCATAGGTAGAGGAACAATAGTAGTTAAAAGTAGAAAAACAAGAGGGACTCCATTATGGAGAACCATACGTGTTACAGAGATTTCTACTTTATTTGTCTGACACTGAGGAGCTGATGAAGGCTTCAAAACAGAGGAGCGTTTGATTAGAGATCAGTAATACACTTCCTTTCTCAGCATCTTTAATTCCCTAGCTAGCAGTTCAAACACTGTGCTAGAAGGTTTTTTCTTTTTTCATAAAAAAGAAAAAAGAAAGGCAAAATGAGAACCCTGCCTCAAACTATATACAAAAAAAAAAAAAAAAAAATCAACCCAGCACTAATTTAAGTATGAAGGAAATTCTATCAGGAAAAAATAGAAAAGAATGTATGTACAACCTTCAAGTGGCATAGGGATTCTCCTACAGACATGGAAAGCAGAGATTTTTTTAAATGAAAAGACTGATAAGTTTATTGTCATCAAATTGTCTACAAAAGTTACTATAAACAAGTTAGAAAACAAGTGACAGCTGGGGAAGGTGTGTACAATACACATAACTGATGAAAATTAAAAACTTACTCAGGATAGGTTTAAAGAGACCCCGGGCATAAATAAGAAAATGACAACACAACAGAAAAATGGGCAAAAGATATGAACAGGAAGTCCATAGGCAGGAAAGCCTGAGAGGCAAGTGTATACGAATGAATTAATGAAATTTTAAGAAGTGATGTTTTAGAGAAGCAAATGTATATATAAAAAGTTACTTATCTTCATTAGTAATTAGGGATATAACATTCCAATAATGACAATATGTCATTCCCTAGCAACTGAAAAAAATTTAATCTGTTTATTTAATAAAAGATTTCATTTTGTTTTCCTTGTATAGAAAGTCAAATTTGTCAGCACCATTTACTAAATTCCACCTTTCCCTCCATTGACTTGCAATAGCCCTTTATTGTTTATTTTGGAGGAATGAATATTTACCTCCCCTCAAAATTCATCTTGAAATGTAATCCCTAATGTGACAGTGTTGGGGGTTCGACCTCTGGGGGCTGACTAGGTATGAGGGTGGCGCTCACGTGAACGGGGTCAGTGCCCTTGAAAAGGAAGTTCCAGACAGCTGCCTTGGCCCCTCACCATGTGAGGGTACAAGAGAGCCATCCATGGACCAGAAAGCGAGCCCTTACCGGATACTACACCTGCTGGCACTACCGTCTTGGACTTGCCAGACTCCAACACTGTGAGAGACCAAGCTCTGTCGTGTCTAGGCCACCAGCCCATACCGTCCTGCTTTACAGCATGCGTACCGACTCGCTCCTTGACGGGGCAGGCCCCCACACGCGCCAAGGCCTGGGTCTGACCCGATTCTGCTCTCACCTTCTGTCTGTCCTCGCCGCAACATCACATCTGTGAGGCACTATAGCTTTCCAGTCGTTCTCAAAGTCAGCCATTTCACTTTTGTTCTTGGATGTCCCTGGACTGTTGCCTCTTCATAGAAATGTTAGAATCAATACGTCTAACATCTTATGTCAAACTTTTAAGAAAAAGAACTTACGGATTGCATTTTTTCTTCCTTTCCTCTCCATAGGCGAGATTCTTACAGGCCTTGATGCATATTTCTAAAGAATGGGTTTTGAAGCAGTAACGAATGGCAAATTCTATTTCTCCACTGACGTTAGCATTCTCGAAGTTACCCATCTCTGTACAAGTGCTGTTAATGCTAATTAAACTTCCCTAAAAATCAAGAATGAGAGATGAAATTAATTACACCACAGTTCATCAACTTCTTTGTAGTTCCAACACATCAGATCAGGATTCACACAGAACATGCTCCTGACTCACATGGAGCTCCTAACACATCAGCCTGAACCTCGCCAAAGTAAGGTGCTGTGTGTTCTTCCCAAGGAGGAGAATCTAGAAGGCCCTGCCGGCCCAGATAGAAACTTTGCCTAGCAATAGAGGTTACACAATCGCATTCTTTTTTTTTTTTTTTTTTTTTTTTTTTTTTTTTTTTTTTTGGGGGGGTTTCTTTTTTCTTTTTTTGGAGAGGTTTTTGCTATAGGGCACGTGTGCTCGCCAGAGAGACAGAGAGGCAGAGAGAGAGAGACAGAAAGCAAGAAATCACCCCCCCAGGGGGGATGACCACACGCCAATCCCTTTTCCTCTTGGCATCTTGGGCATGCATGCACATGTGCCCAGTGTGAGTTTAAGCCAGTGGGTCCGGGACTTGAACTGTGGTCGACTACATGGGAGTTAAGCGACATAGACATTACACTAACTGCTGGTCCCAGTCACATTCTTTAACACAAAACACTTGGGATGGAGTAGACTAGCTCTGCAATTGTGTGAAGAGAACTCTGAGGAGGCCAACGTGGCAGGACAGCCGTGTGGGGCTAAGAGGCTATGGCCAGGAATCAGACCTGGATTCAAAGCCTGGTTCTGCTACTCATTTGGTGAGTCCCACACTGAAAATACTGGTCCCCCAGGGCTGTGATTATGGGGAGGAGTAAATGAAATAAGGCGTGTAAAGTGTGCAAAGGTAATAATACGTTCTATTACAATGAAAACAAAGCCGCCGTCTGGTGAGGGTGCTCGAAGCTCGCATGGTCTGGGTGAGTGGCATGGCCTGCACCTTCTCAAAGGTCCCCGTCTCTGTACAAGTGCTGTTAACGCTAACTAAACTTCCCTGAAACCAAGAATGACAGATAAGGTAAATAAGACAGCAGGTTTAACCAGAACACGTCACCAAGTATAATAAAATAGAACAGTACGTGCTTTTTTTTAAAGGCAAAGATTGTCCTACTGGATTTTGAAATATCTGACTGGATGTTCTTTAGATGAGACAAAGTTTAAATACAAATAATTAAAAAGGGAGAAGATAGAGGAACAGCAACAACAACTAAAACTGATAATACCATCAAACACTACTCAAGGGACCAGCAGGTGGCATGGTGGTTAAGGTGCTGGACATTCCCACGTGGCCGACCATGGTTTGAGTCCCAGACCCGGTGACTGGCTTTCTCACTTTCCCTCTCTCTCTCTGTGTCTCTTTCTGGTCAAATTAAAATAAATGAATCAATAAATAAAATTAAATAATTCTTTAAAAAAAAACTACTCAAAGGAAAACAGTATCACTATAATAATACTGAGCAAAGTGTATTTGGAGTCTAGGAACATTACTGACAGACAAAGAGAAATGTTTTGTAACGAAAAGGGCCAGCCCGCCTGAACGTGTTTAACAACTCTAAATGAGTAGCACTGACTCAGCGTAAGAAAAGGAAAAACTGGGACCAGCAGATGTAGCGGCTACATCAATGGACTCCCACGTAGTTGACTATGGTTCAAGTCTCAGACCCAGCAACTTGAAACTCCCACCAGGTGCATGTGCGTGCGTGCCCAAGATCCCGAGAGGAGAATGGAGGAGAAAGGATTGTGGCATGGCCAGCCCCCCTGGGGGGGATTTCTCGGTCTCTGTCTGTCTCTCTCTGTCTGTCTGGTGAGTGCGCATGCCCTGTAGCAAAAATCTCTCTCTCTCAAAAAGGAAATCTGACAAAACTAAAAAGAGAAACAGCTAAATCCACAGGTATCTTTTTTTTTTTTTAAAGAATTAGGTATCTTTTTAAAAAGAATTATCTATTTTATTTGTTGTTATTATTATTATTATTTTAATTTGACCAGAGAGACACACATACATACAGAGAAAGAGAAAGTAAGAAAGCAAGAGGATGGAGGAGAGACTTGGAAGGTTGACCAACTTTCCCGTTGATTGTTTATTTACACTTGGGCAATACATGGAGTTTGATAAGCCTTTCCTAGCCCCATCGCCTCCTTTCTCAGCCAATGTACATGTCTCTCAGAACGGCAGGCACTTCTCGGCCGAGCAGCAATGACCAGTGATGTGCTTTGCGGGAGTTCAGTTTCCTCAAACACACACTGCCTGAAGAGACTACAATGGAACACATCATAATCCCTTTCACAACTACGATTTCTTTGAGACAGGGGCCTCCTCTGAGGTGGTCCTCCCGGCCCAGCGCCCCTCCTGAGTCACAGCGATGACAGGCATAGGCCAGCACACCCGGCCTTCCTGGCGGTTCGGGAATCAGCCCAGGCCTCTCCGCAGTCCCAGCCCTGGAGCACACACCTTCGAAGCATGGTGAGGTTTTCCCAGCTCCCAATCCAGTCAGATCTTACTTCCAAGCTCTACTGTCGCTGTCCAGTTCATTTCACAAGGCGACAGCTCATTCCCAACAATGTCGTTATAACCGCACGCCTTGTGTCACGTGCCAGCTCGCAGGAAGCACTAACGCACCACTCAAGCAATGCTGGATCCATACTGGAGCCTGGGTTTGGTTCCCCAGCAACCCGCACATGCCAGGAGCACATGCGCCCATCAGCACGGCCCCCTGGGCAGGAAGGCGGGGGAGTGGTCCCGCCTGAGGCTTTATAAAGGGTGCTCATCTTCCTCTCTCATAAAATAACTTTAAAAAATAAATACTAAGACAAGACTCACGCGTCTCAAGCCTTCAGAGAATGAAGTGCTGGGTGCAGGGCTGGATGTGAGATTATCTTGCTTTAAAACAGGGCTAGGAGAGCACTTGGGAACCTCCTGATTGAAAGACTTCAGAATATCCGGTGTGCTGGCCTTCTGGGGAAGGAGAAGCAGAACTAATATTAGAGGCCACGTCTCGGTTAGATTTTGTTCAAATGTGACGATGTCAGGAAGCACAGCCTACATCCGTTGGCCGATGTTACTAACGTGCTAACTTCTGGTTGCAAAGCAGAAAGACACAGTTGTGTTAGGTACGTGCTCGAGCACACGTGTACACACACACACACACACAGGGCCCTGCAGCCAATGCCCTCCAGCTTTGGGGTGTTCATGAATGGTGAGGGGTGGGTTATTTGTGGATTAGCAAAAGCCACCGAGAACTCAAGATTCGGGCCTTCACAACGATCCTGGCATTTAATCCCATGAAATACAATATTCGACCTGATAGGCAGAGTTTTAAGTCTAACATATTTATGAAAAGGGAACGGGGGACCAGCAGTTAGCGTAATGGCTATGTCACTGGACTCCCACGTAGTTGACCGTGGTTTGTGTCCCAGACTCAGTGGCCTAAAACTCACGCCGGGCGCGTGTACGTGCGTGCCCAAGATCCCGAGAGGAGAATGAAGGAGAAGGGATTGCGGCGTGGCCATCACCCCTGAGGCGTGATTTCTCGCTTTTTGTCTCTCTGTCTCTCTGTCTGTCTGGCGAGTGCACGTGCCCTATAGCAAAAACCTCTTCAAAAAAAAAAAAAAGATTAAAAAAAAAAAAAAAGGGAATGGTTATGTTGCTGGGCTCCTGCATAGTCAGCAGTTTGAGTCCACTCAAACTCAATTTTCCTGGACCCCCTGGCTTAGAACTCACACTGAGCGCATGTGTGTGCCTGCCTAAAATCCTGAGAGGAGGATGGAGGAGAAGGGATTGCAGTGTGGTCATCCCCCTGAGGGTTGATTTCTCACTTTCTGTCTCTCTGTGTCCCTGTGTCTCTCTGGCGAGTGCACATGCCTAAAAGCAAAAATCTCTCAGAAAAACACATCAACTTTGGGTCGCAGACTGGCCTAAGACGCGCAGGTGCCCTCTGTGCCCCTCCAGCAGTTCCCTGCTGAAGACTGGAGCGCTCAGCCTGCCAGGCCACTCAATGGGTGGGAACAGCCACGGAGTGGTCATAAGCTGCTCTTCTACAAAGTGGAAATAAGGTTGGTAAAGAAAATAAACAGTTTCTAAAAAAAAAAAAAAAGAATACTTTGATCAACGTTGATACTTGAATAATGTATACAGATGTCCTTCCTGTCCAATCTGGCAGCCAGTAGCCACATGTGGTTTTTTAAATTTAATTCAACTTCATTGAAATCAAGTAAAACTAATAAACTCAGCTCCTCAGTCACACTGAGCCATTTTGAGCTCAGTAGCCATTGGGAGTGCTCACCAGCAGGGCAGGACGTTGCACAGGGCAGGCCAGCAGAGGGCAGTAAACATGAAGGGCAGGCTGGGAAAGCCCCTTCCTGGCAAAAAATGCAATTTCTGAACCTAGACTTCAGGTTCGCTTGGACTAGGACTTGGAAATGCAACAGTTGCACCATAGCTATAATTTTCATAAACAAAATACTGAGAATATTAGAGAACACATGAAAAGAAAAGATGGTTTCCCATTGTAATTCATGTCCTCAATCTCCAGCATGTTAGCCCAACTCCAATGGGCAACTGTGAAGTGTCCTATCTGCAACCCACCACTCTAGGTTCTAGGGCTTGGAAAAGGAGAAGGGAGAGGACGACAGGAGAAAGAAGGAAGGGAAGACATACAGCCTGTCCTTCAAGCGCTCATCAGCTGGTAGGAAGGTAGAGACACCATTACAATGGGGGTACCAGTCCCGTCAATGACAAAGAGGTGAGGAAGGGTCATCCAGAATGGGGGAAGCTGGGATGATCTCCAGTGGGGGTAGGACCTGAGTGGGGTGCTGAAGCGTGTCTGGGGAACGACAGCGGTGAGGTGTGCCCAAGATCCCGAGAGGAGAACGGAGGAGAAGGGATTGTGGCGTGGCCATTCCCCCTGGGGGGTGATTTCTCACTTTCTGTCTCTCTGTCTCTCTCTGTCTGTCTGGCGAGCGCACGTGCCCTATAGCAAAAACAAACAAACAAACAAACAAAAAAAACTCTCAAAAAAAAACCCAAGAATGATGATAGAACATTCCAAAGAAGAACAGAAAGAATGATCTTTATGATAGACATTGCATAGCACGTCAAATTCATAGCCAGGAAGGGGCGTGGTGGTGCCCGCCCTATGGCAAATTCATAGCCAGGAAGAATTATGCTTCTAAACTGTCCAAACTTGGGAAAATCTTTTTTTAAAAAAATTATTTCCCTTACTTTTATTGATCACTATTGTTATTTTTAATTTGACCATAGCAAGACACAGAGAGAATGAGGAAGAGGGAGAGAGAGAAAAAGTAAGAAAGCAAGCCGCCAGGTCCAGGACTTGAACCATGGTCAGCCATGTGGGAGTCCAGAGCCTTTAACCACCATGCCACCTGCTGGCCCCAGGAAAACCTTTAATGAAGCTTACTTGCAAATGTAAATATCCTGAAATTACTAGAAAAGTCAATACTAGTCTGAGAGACAAGCCTATTTTGGTTGACTAAGGAACCCAACTTCAAATTCTGTGTTCGACTCCTCCACAGGAAATTCTGAGAGACTTGGAGGACGCCACCAATTCAGGGGTCTATGAAAAGCCATTGAGATCTAGGTGGGTGATTATCAAGGTCATTACGACAGATGTTTTCTTCTCTGTGATTTTTTTTAAAAGAATTATTTTATTTATTATTATTTTCACAAGAGATTACCAGAGAGAGACAGAGAGAGAGAAAGTAAGAAAGCAAGCCACTAGGTCTGGGACTTGAACCGTGGTTGGCCATGTCCAGAGCCTTAATCACCAGGCCACCTGCTGGCTCCTCTCCTGTGGTTTTTAATGTATTTCATTATCTATCTAGTTTGGGCCATATTAAAGAAAAAAACGCTTGCCCTGAGTGAGCTCAACTCTGCAAGGAGTCTCACATTACATGAGAAAGATGAACATATGTTAGGTTTCACTTCAACACGGTACGGACTCTCTGGAACCGAGCAGTATGTGCATTTGGGAGCTTTGCTGACTTGAGATGAGAACAGAGTGAAAAGAGGAAGAAGAGCAACCATTGCCACCTCTGCGACTCCGACTTGGGGCCGCCTGTAACAGAGACAGTTGTGGGGAGTGCTCAGCCTTGGCCTGGGCCAGTCTGTGCCCTGTGAGTGGGAATCCCAGCTGAGGAGCTCGCCAGCTCTCCCGGGCCCTGGGAAGGACCTGTTGCCCCTAACCCTGAGGTGACACGTCCGCGCAGTGGAATAAACAATGCGGCAGTGATCCAGCCCCGCACAACTCCTGCCTGGTGCAGCCTCTGCTCTGTGGCCAGCAGCAGGGAGAGGAGGTGCAGGGAGCCCACGTGCTGTATAGGGGGCCGTGTCTCTAGACTTCAGGTGTCCATGGGAAATGCTAGCAGAAGAGAAAGGATAGGATGGAGAAGCTCCCCCCGCCAGAGCCCCTTCTAGTTTTTTACACGTTCATTCCGTTTAATAGTCGCATGCGTTTAGGGCCACACATTCATAAGATACCTCATAAAATCCGCGGGACCGCACACGTGATTAAAGGCCAGCGCTCATCCCTTGGGGACTCCTGGCCCAGAGGTACGTGTGAGGGTCCTGGCCAGGGCCTTTTCAGGGCATGTCCTGGACCTGGCAGCTCAAAAGACACGCTGGACATGTGTATGTGCCTGATATCCCTAAAGGAGAGAGAAGGGATGCAGCATGGGCTCCCCGGGGATACTTTCTTACTCTTTCTCTCTCTCTCTCCAGCAGGCACAAGCACCCTCAGTCAAGAAAACAAAAAGAAAACTATCCACTGCTTCTGTGCAAGGTGAGCACCAGCTCCCAGACTTCTAAGAGAAACTGTCCTAAGATTCAGTTGTAGGGCCAGCAGGTGGTGTGGTGGTTGGGAGCGATGAACTCTCACATGGCCAACCATGGTTTGGGTCCCAGACCTGGCAGCTGGCTTTCTCACTTTCTCTCTCTCTCTCTCTGCACCTCTCTGGTCAAATTAAAAATAAATAAACAGAGACAAATAAAGTTAAATGAAATGAAATAATTCTTTAAAAAAATAGTAAAGATTCAGTTGCGAGACTCTGAAAGGCGTTCTGAGGAGGAGTGCAGCTTCTGCGAGCTCACCGGCTTGGGCACATGTAATTACAGTGTGCGAGTGTCCTATTTAAAGATGCACTCCTTATATTCCAACCCTGTAATTACTTAGCATTTATAGACCAAGCCACGATCGCCAAGGACTTTATAAACATTTGGCTACAGCACTCCTTGAAACAGCCGTATCCTCGGTACGGAGGGGACAGAGGCGGCCTGCAGACGCTGTAAGATCTCCTGTGGAGCATGTGGCAGCAAGGACACGTGTCCACATGGTCAGGAGCTCGCTCCCCATGGCCTCCCCTGCCCTGTCTCGCTCCCACTCCTAAACTCCCCTAGCCTCTCAGATGGCCCGAGGCTGCCTGGCAGACTCCCTCCTGTGTGCACACACTGCAGTGGCACTGCAGCCTGAGGTCCCTTGGCCGTCTCTTTGCTCCTGTACCCTCTTCTCTAGTGGGGACAGCAACAGCACAAACTGCAGAGGGTTGTTGTAAAGATTTTTAAAAGTTAGATACCTATAGGGTATTAACCAAGCATGGCGCCCGGAATGCTGGTCAGCTCTGAGTCAACCTTAGCTTAAGTATGACTTGGTCTCTCTCTCTCTTTTATTAGAGGGAGATTTTTGCTATAGGGTACATGTGCTCACCAGAGAGACAGAGACAGAAAACAAGAAATCACCCCCCCAAGAGGATGACCAGGCCGCAATCACTCCTCCTCCATTCTCCTCCCAGATCTTGAGCATGCCCACATGCCCAGTGTGAGTTTTAAACCACTGGGTCAGGAACTCGAACTGAAATCCACTATGTGGGAGTCCAGCAATTTAACCGTTGTGTCATTTGCTGGTCCCAAGACTTAGTCTCTCTGAGCTCAAGACAGAGAGACTAAGTCTCTCTTAGTCCTACCCGTCAAATGGGGCTACGTGTCATACCTACCTCTTCGGGTGGCTGTGAGGATAGAATGAGGAGGCCAGGGAAAGCTTCTGGGCCAGAGTCTGGCACAGAGCGAACACCGGCCATTCAGTGATCTAGCGTCTCACTGGGCACGTGCAGGAGCCAGCGCAGCGGCGAGGACAGGCTTTAACTATCCCAATCTGCACTTCACGAGGGACAGGTGGCCTCAGGTGGAGGCAGGATCTGAACCTGGAGAGTGTGTGGGGAGCTCCAGCGGGAGTCTGGAGCTAGCCTCTCACTCTCACCAGGACAATTTGGGCACATTGTGAATGGAACCCGCAGGCAAGGGGCCCCTGCCTGCAGCCGACCACAGCCGTCAGATCAGCCCTGCAACAGGTGCTGGCACTTCCAGCTGGGTCAGGTGGGCCGGACTCCAGATGTTCTGATCCAAAGCGGGCTTTCCCCAAGCCCCGCACTCAGACCGCTGTAGGTGCGGTCCATCTGGTGGGAAGCCGGACCACCATTCCCTTGTAAGCCTCGTCAGCCGAGGTCTCGCGAGGTCTAGCTCCCTGGGGAGCGTCACCTCCCGCCTGTGCCCCATTACATAGCATTTATGTTCTTGGTGGGTTCCATCTGAGAGCAGGACAGATTTTAGCCAATGGCCGCCAGTCTTGAATGGCTAGAGGAAGGCCTCATGGTCCTCAGTGAGGGGACTCGCAGGCCCCAGGGGTAACATGGTAAGTGTCAGCCCTGGAGGAAAGCCCTGTGACTTTGGTGTGGCCTGCTGTGGGGAGCCCCTGTGCACGCAGAGAGCCTTGGGCAGCCCCAGATTGGGTGCAGCCTTCCCTGTTCTAAGCAATCTTCAATCAACCTTGACTTCTGCCCCTCCTTAGGCCAGGCCTGCACAAAGACAGGAGGTCCTAACTCAGTTTTTCTCACTGCTTAATTTTGTGCTACAAGAGGAAGAACAAATCTATGCAGAAAATGGGCTGCAAAGCTCTGAAAAGGCAGCGTAAGGCAGGGCCAGGCATGGCAGCTGGGCAGTCCTGGGTACCCTGGTGGTGACGTTGACGGCGGTGTCAGACTGGCTCCGTCTCTCCGTTCGGTTTGCGCACTGCCAGGAACCTGTGGCTAGAAGGTGCTTCTCAGAAGTCACGTCGCTCTGGGACTTGGAGAGCTCTAGAAAACAAATACGATGGGTGACAGGTGGGACAACACGGCTCTACCCAGACTTTGCGATCCCCAGAAACCCACAGGCCCAAGGTCCCGGGAGACCAAAGTCTATGGAAGGGGAAAGGGTCACATGTCTGGTGCTGAGTGCCAAGACACCAGGAAGGTGACCAGACATAGCAGTGGACACACAGCAGGAGGGCCCCTGTCAGGGTGGGAGTTAGAGGAAACCCTCTAGAATTATTTCTCTGCGGCCCAGGTGACTTGCCTGAGCCTTCACGGGCCCAAACACAAAGCCGGCACTGGTCAAACAAGCCAACACGGGGGGTTCCTTACACCAAGTTTACAACCAAATTCTGTTTCCTCTGACTCTTCAAAACAAGTGAAAATAAGAGTTGAGGTATCCTTACAATTATTTCAGTAAGCAAACCTTGAAAAGACTTGAAGATTTATTCATGGGACTCGCAGATGGAGTAATGGTTACATTGCTGGACTCCCACACAGTCGACTGCAGTTTGAGTCCCAGACCCCGTGACTTAAAACTCACACCAGGTGTGTGTGCACGCATGCCCCAAACCCCAGAAGGAGGTTGGAGGATTGTGGCATGGCCATCCCCAATGGGGGTGATTTCTCGCTTTCTGTCTCTTTGTCTCTCTGTCTCTCTGGTAAGTGCACATGCCATATAGCAAAAATCTCTAAAAAAAATTTGTTTATTGGAGCCAGCCGGTGGTGATTAAGGTGCTGGACTCCCACATGGCCAATCAGGGTTTGCGTGCTAGACCAGGCGACTGGTCATGCCAGGTGTGTGTGCATGCCCAAAATTCTGAGAAGAGAATGTAAGAGAAGGGATTGCAGAGTGGCCATCCCCCCAGTGGGTGATTTCTCACCTCCCCTCTCTGTCTCTTTCTGTCTCTCTCCCACAAGTGTGTGCAGGCTGTGGCAAAAACTTAAAAAAAAAAAAGTTTGTTTTGCAGTGTAATGGCAGTCTGAAATAAAGATAAATAAAATAGGAAACAAAGCGTCCTGACCCAGAAGGAGAGCACCAGCTGAAAGGTGACTCCTTCCTCCAAAGATGGCTTCCTTCCCCAAGCACCTTCCTCTCAAGTGTGGACTTCAAGGCTGTGTTTCAGCAGCCCTGCTTAGCGTAGGCATAAGGTGAATTACGGAGGTATTTAAAGCTTTTTAATGGCCACATTTTAAAAAGTCAAAGAAGGCCCATCCACAGTGGGAGGGTGCTGCTGCCCAATGGCTCAGGCCAGGTGGGAGGCCTGGGGTGGTTCCTGACCTCACCTGGGCGGCTGGGTGCAGCAACCCAGGCCCGCAGTCCTCCTTGCGCACTGGGAGGCTGGGGTGGGAGAACTGCGCCAGGCGAGACCCTGTCCAAAGTGTTTCTTTCTCCCTCCCACGTGTGCAGAGTCCACAGCCCTGGGAGGAGGAAAGGCCTTCCTCAGCAGTGGGCACTCCAACGAGTGGGCTTACACTGGTGGTGTTGGGGCGTGGGGACGGAAAAAAACATGGCTGCTCCTGAGCAAGACCTGGTCTTTCTCCTCTTCCTCCTAAAAGGGGATTACAATCCTGAAATCTAGACATTAACTGATGATTAAAAAATGGCCAGAGTAGAACCAGCAAATGGCATAATGGTTATATAGCTGGACTCCCATGTAGTTGACTGCAGTTCAAGTCCTGGACCCGACAACTTGAAACTCACGCTGGGTGCGTGTGCATGCATGTCCAAGATCTTGAGAAGAATGAAGGAGAAGGGACTGCAGCATAGCCATCCCCCTGGGGGATGAGTTCTCATTTTTTGTCTGTCTCGATCTCTCCAGCGAGTACATGTACCCTAAAGCAAAATATCTCTCTTCAAAAAAAAAAAGGCTGGAGTAACTCATTTCTCCCAGCTGGGCTTTGTTAACTCATTTTTAATTTACTATAGGGTGTGTGCACTCATCAGAGAGAGGACGGGAGGGAAAACGAGGAGGTACCTCCCAGGGGGATGGCCATGCCGTGATCCCCTCTCCTCTGTTCTCCTCTTAGCATCTGGGCTTGCACACACACAGGCTCTTCTCTAGGACTTGCATTTTGAGAGACACGAGAAATCCCACCTGGGCAGAAAGCTCACGGAAAGAGATGATTCCAGACAGTGGTCCTGGGTTACTTGTGTCTGCAAATGGTAGGCTTATGACTAACTGAAGAAAATTACCAAGGAGAAAAAGAGGGGACAAATACTTCCATGTGAACAATAGATATCAGGTCCAGCCTAGCTAATAAGGTTTTATAGTCACTGGAATCGTCTCTTCATGTTTCCTTGGATGGTTGTCAGGAGAGTCTGAAACCTACCAAGCACCCTTGCCCATGGCACTGACCAGGCAGGTTTGGGCAGGAGTGGGAGCATGAGCCTGTGCCTCCTCTTTCCACAAGGAACCAGAGGCCTACTGTGTGCCTGAAGAGCACAGGGGCAGGTGCTGTGGTATCCTGCTGGGTCCAGACACAAAGTGAGTGACCCTGTCACAGTCAAGGTCACCAGCTAGGCCTTGGCCAGTGGGCACGACTGGCCAGGATGGTGGTGGGAAGAACACGTCAAGGAGTATCCACTTACTTTTCATGTGCGTGGTAACAGACAGAAACAAATTTTCCATAGACTTATTAAATCCTTTAAACTGACCAAGTTCCTGTAACTGAAACAGAGACAGAAGAAAGAAAATAAGTTATGTTTCATGACCTGTGTCTGCCCCAGCAGTCTCCTGGCTGCCAGCCCCAAGTGATATCAGGTGTGCATAGGCATGGGTGTGTGTAGGCATGGGTGTATGCATGCACCTCTAGAGGTAAGAGCACACAGCCCTCCCAAGATGTCCTCTGGACTCAGGTTTTCGTCTGTATCTTGACATCTGCATTAAGGGAAGGGGCATTATCAATGGGCTGTCGATAAGATAACTACTACCTCATAGAAACGATGACTGACATGTCATTGGCTCAGAGACTGTACCCAAGTAAATTACTGCTTATTTAACCTCCTTTCTCCTATAGCCCCACCCCAACTCTGTGCAGAAAGGATGCCAGCATGGGCAGAGTGCATGCGATATAGGGCCAAGAGCTGTCTAAGGCACAAGTGACCAGCCTGGAGCCAAGGAACTCTTCCTCCCAAAGCAGAAGAGAGAAGAAAGTGGAGTGAAAACAACAGAAAGGAGGTTGCTTCTATCAATCAATCTGTCTGTCCACCTATCTACCAACTATTCATCCATCCATCCATCAAACTATCATCTGTCCAAACCACCATCTACCAAATATCCATCCATTCATCTGTCCATCCATCCAAACTACCCATTTACCAACCATCCATCCATCAACCCATCCATATCCCCATATACCAAATATTTCTCCATCCATTCATTCCACCCATCTTCCAACCAACCAACCACCCATCCATCCATCCATCCATCCATCCATCCATCCATCCATCCATCCATCCAACAAACCATCAATCCAAACCACTCATCTCCCAACTATCCATCCAACCATGTATCCATCTACCAACCATCCACTCATCCATCTGAACCAGCCATGCAAACCACCCATCTAGCAACTCTCCATCCAGTCATCTACCACCTACCCCTCCAAATACCATCTACCAAACGTCTATCCATCCATCCACTCCACTCTTCTACCAACCATTCATTCCAATATCTATCCATCCAACCCATCCATCTACCAATAGTCTACCCATCAAACCATCCATCTACCAATCGTCTATCCACCCATCAAACCATCCTTTCATCCAAACCACTCATCCATCAACCAGCCATCATCCAAGCATCAAAACATCCATTTAAACCACCCATTAAAACCACCCTGGGTTTCCCTTCCAACCTCCAGAGGAATAGTGCGCAGGAAAGAGATGAAGACTTGGGATGCAGACAGAAGGGGTCGCCAACAACACAGATGGCCCTGTGGCCACCAAATGAAGCTCTTCCCAACCTCAATTATTTAACCATCTGTCCATCCATCCATCCATCCACCCATTTACCCACCTACCTATCCATTCAATAAATATGTCTTGAGCACATAGATACTGGACCAATTTTGAAGAATTTGAGAACCAGCAGTTAGCGTAATGGCTATGTTGCTGGACTCCCACGTAGTCGACCACAGTTCGTGTCCCGGACCTGGTGGCTTAAAACTCACGCCGGGTGCGTGTGCGTGGGTGCCCAAGATCCCGAGAGGAGAATGGAGGAGAAGGGATTGCGGTGTGACCATGCCCCCTGGGGGGTGATTTCTCGCTTTCTGTCTCTATGTCTCTTTCTGTCTGGCGAGCACATGCACCCTATAGCAAAAACCTCTCCCTCCCCCCCCCAAAAAAAAAGAATTTTAAATCTCAAAGAGAAAGTAGAACAGGATTTTGAAGGCCCCCCAGAGTCTCAGTTTGAAATTGGAAAAGAATGTATATATTTTCTCCCTGTTATCAGCAGATGTGTATTTTTGCATATACAGATAACATTGCTCCTGTTTTAATTTCAGAATAATGAAGATAATCAGGACCATATGTCTCCATGGCACTTCACAGTTTCCATGCACCAGTACAGACATTATGTCGTTAATTTCTCACACCAACCATGGGAGACAAGCAAATGAATATAATGATTGTGACCTCTCAGGTGGGAAGCTCAGGAAACACTCTCAGATACACTGCCAATTTCTTTGGGCCAAAGAGTAAAGCTGGCCTGCTTCACCTCAGGACCTGCAAACACTCAAAAGGTACGCTTGCAATTCCTGGGCTAACCTGGGTTTCCCTTCCAACCTCCAGAGGAATAGTGCACAGGAAAGAGATGAAGACGGGATGCAGACAGAAGGGGTCGCCAACAACACAGGTGGCCCTGTGGCCACCAAATGAGGTTCTTCCCAACCTCAAGTGAGGGCCTTCCTTCTCTGCCCAGCCTTGTGATTCGCTCTGTCAAGGTCCGACGCCTTGTTCCTGCTCCTCTTTCCCATCCTGCTCAGGGGGACTCCGAGCAGACGTCTTACCCTGCTGGGGCTGCGGCTGCACTGGCTTTCACTGAGTGGAGGCGGAGTAGGAGGAACCACCGAAATTTTGCTACCAGGAAAAAAACACAAGAATAAGACACTGGTTATGGACCATGAAAGTGACTGGTTCCACCAATACTCAAGATGCATCATGTTCTGTAATTCAAGTACTCGGCTCACCCTCCCTTCCTTTTTTCTTTCCTTTCCTGCTTACTTATTTTCCTTCCTTCCTTCTCATTTTTTTCTTCACTACCTCACCTTTTAGAAAAAGACCCGGCAGCTGAGCTTGGACCTGCTGCTTTCCTAGGGCACAAGACCTTGGTATCTGACAGTAGAAGGAGGACTACATGGCCTGAAGTCTGGGCACTCAGCCGAAATGGCCCACCGCCCAGTCACCCTAAACCTGGACTCCATGGGTGTGCCCCGGGACTTCACGCATGCATCCTGAGGCTCCAGGTGTGTGTCCCACCTGGGCTCCTGTACGCTCTCAGTGCCATCCACATTGGGGATGTGAAAAGCCACCATGAGCGGGACTAAAGCTTGTGCTAAAAGAAGAAGGGGGGGGGCATGAAAAAGTTCTGAACCTAAAAATCCCATCATGGGCCAGAAAACCAGAGGCCAGGTGGGAGTTTTCAGTGATCCTTCAGTACATTCACAGGAATGGGGCTGGTGAATTATTGCCTGCCTCACGACTGCTAGGTTATTAGAACTCTGTGCAAAGTTAGCATCTCCCAGACCATTATCCAATCCCACCTATGTTTATTTCATAAAACCTCTAAGGTGCCAGGCACCAGGAAAGGTGTGAGCGATATGCATAGTTAGCAAGAGCCAAGGCTGGGTTTAGAACATCTAACCGTGCAATCAAAACGAGATTTCAGGAGAATTTAAGAAACAAAACAGACTGTTTACTGAGAAAATATCCTCCTGCTAGCCAGAAGGCTTTTCACAGGAATCTGGAAACATCTCAGAATTGTCCCAGTCACTTTATCATTAAAATTTAAAAAAAAAAAATACATTCCAAAGCAATGACATCTGAAAGTCAAGAGATCAGTAAGTTCCTTCAGGGTGTCCTCTGCGCTCCTGCCTGAGGGAAGACCAGGGCCGGCCTGTCCTTGACAACACTCACCTCAGTTTCTGATAAGATTGCAGGAGCCTGGCTCCAGCTGTCTGGTGTTTGCCTGGAAGAGATAGCAGTAAAGGTCACCAAGTATAAGAATATAACTTACATAGTGCAAACACAGGAAGTAAGACATGAAAACATTCTCCTAATACTGCTCCTTGTGATTAAAGAGAGATCGATTTGGGGGCGACAGACATGCTCTGAAGTTAAATCGTACAGCCCTATAAATGTAGTCAAAGTTGGATTGTTCACTTAAAACAGGTGAATCTGCTGTTACGGAAGTGAATTCCACTACGGCTGTCATCGTAACACGCGCCCAAAGGGGGAGAGTGCCATTGCTGGGAGGGCTGCTTTGATTAAAAGTGGCTGTTGGACGAGGCTCTCCCAAATCTGGGTGATCTGGAAGGTAGTCCAAGCTCGTAAGCTTCCATTTGCCCTTTGGAGGCGTTTCATAATTGCATGAACATATTCCTCTAAACGTTCCTCGTGATGAAGATTAAATTAATCTTTAAAAAAATGTAATCTACTTATTTCTAGTTACAGAGGCTAATAATTTCCTAAGTAAGACTGCACCTGATATAGTAGTCCTTTTGTTTTAATGAACGTTTTTATGATGTATTTAGAGCCCCATGTCCGCGGTCCTGTGAACACATTTCCTGGTGGGCCATGGCGAAGAGGCCTGCCTGCCACCAGCTAGGGTGCAAACAGCTTCTCCTGCCTGGGGAGCTTCTGGGGAGCTTCCAGAGCACTCTGCTGTGCGCAGCACCAGCCCCCTCGCCCCCCGGAGGTCAGTCCTGCCGCTGCACTGTGTTTGGAAGGTTTTTTAAGTCTATTCCAAAGAAAGACATATAAGCATCGTTTCCATAAGACACACGTAGAAGAGCCAAGAAAGTTGGGCTGGGACAGGAGGCCTTGAGAGGGGTGGGCAGCCTGGGTGTCTGCTGAGCCCTGGTTACCAGGCCCTGAACCTGGCAGCAGGAGGTAGTTGCAGGCCCTGGCTGGCCTCAGGAGCACAGGAACCCCAAAGATCATCTCCAACAGTTGCATTTTCTGGGGTTCGTGCAGTGTTCACAGAGTCTAAAAGGGGCCTGTGAGGCCTCGTCCCATTCCCAACATTGAGAAATACTTCTCAAAGGCAGAGCAAAAAAGTGAAAGAAAGCCTCACCCAAAGGCCATGAGCTAAACTAGCAGAACCAGCTCACGGCGGGGGAGAGGGACTTGTGATGGGCCGCCTTCAAGCAGATGGCTAGTCTGGACGCACGGGAGGGCCAAGCCGACCTCCCTCCCGTTGGCCGGAGAAAGGCGAGGGGAAGGGGAGAGAAAGCCAGAGTTATGCTCATCCACGCCGCCCTGCGCCAAGGTCTGAGAGTGCGTTCTGCACCCTCCGTGGTTGGGCAGTTTCACAGGGTCGCTCTCCCCTCCGCCTGTCTCTGCCCTATTTAGACTCTTCGTGTGCCCCTGGATTGATGTGAGTGTCCTCTGAGGCAACCCACCAAACTCACGATCTCCCCTAAACCCAGTGCTATCACTCTATAGCCTAAAGCCCTTTGTTTTTTTCTTTCTTTCTTTTTTTTTTTTTTTTGAGAGGTTTTTGCTATAGGGCGCGTGTGCTCGCCAGACAGACAGAGAGAGACAGAAAGCGAGAAATCATCCCCCAGGGGGGATGGCCACGCCACTATCCCTTCTCCTCCATTCTCCTCTCGGGATCTTGGGCACGCACACACATGCACCCGGCGTGAGTTCTAAGCCACCTGGTCCGGGATGCGAACCCCGGTCGACTACGTGAGAGTTCAGCGACGTAGCCATTATGCTAACTGCTGGTCCCCAGCCTAAAGCCCTTTGTGCCTCCCTATTTCAGAGGCCTAAAAACCAGGCCCCGTGGCAGCCCACATCCTGCTCAGGTCCCTGGGCGGGGCTCTCCCAGGCCTGCTGGCCTTGCCCTCTCCTCCCCAGCAAGACCAGCTTGCTTCTCATTGCCTTGCTCAGCCTGGACGGGGCCAGCCTCTGCTTCTACCACCACTCTCGGCCCTCCTCTCCTCTGGATGCTCTTCCCCGGACTGCTACCTCAGGCCCACATCTCAGACTCCTAGGAGGAAACTTCAGCTGCTGCAGTCCCCAGGTCACCTTCCAAAAGAGCAGGTCTGGGGCTATAGCCCACAGGTGGGTCTCTGCTGCCCTCTGCTGGCTGTGGCAACATGTGTCCCAGCAGCCTGGATCCTGCCGGGCAAACTCGTCCAGGGCATCTGCTCCAGTAAAGCTTGGTGTACACTGAAATCTGAATCCCGTATAATTTTTATGACACCAATATTATTCTTTTTACCCATTTAAAAATGTAAAAGCTGGCCCACCCTGCAGCTGAGTGGTTAAGAAAGCCAGATCCCACATGGCCAAACACAGTTTGAATCCTAACCCAGCTGCTTGAAAAACACACCAGGTTCGTGTGGGCGCGTGTGTGTGCCCCAGACCCTGACAGAATGGAGAAATGGAGGCGGGGATTGTGTGACCATGTTCCGGTACAGTGTTTTCTTCCCTCCCCCATTTCTCTGTCTCTGACAAGTGCATGCACCCTCTGCAAAAAAAAGAAAGAAGAAAGAAAGAAAGAAAAGAAAAGTGAAATGAAAGCCAGGCTTAGCTCACAAGACCTGAGCCCTGGCAGGAAGGTCTGGCCTGTAGTCCCCGTTTGCCACAGGCCCTTCTAGCCCCAGCAGTCATGGCCCAGCAGTGGCCACAGCAGGGGCAGGTGGGTGGCAGGGAGCCTGGTCCTGCAGAACCCCAGGCCCAGCCCAGTGCTGCAGAGTGCAAGTCTGCACTGGGACAAGACCCCAGGGTGACCCCCAACTCAGGAGAGCCCCACCATGTCCATCCATCCAGTCTCGTTTCCCTCTCTCCTGCTCTGCAGCCGCGGCTCACCAGAGGCCTCCTCAGACAGCACCACCCTGTGAGCAAGTTCCGAATCTGCCAACTGCAGGGAGGAGTGCCTCTCCAGAGGGCCCTGGAGGGCCAGGTTATTTGGAAGAGGGTCTGGCTGGGCGAGCAGGGAGGGCTGGTGGGGAGTGCAGCTCTGACCCTGCCCTGGCCTAACCTGACCTTGCCCCTGCATCGTCAGAGCACTTCACATGGATTTGCTGCTCGGCCAGGTGTCACTCCATTTTTCTAAATGAAAAGCGAGGCTCAGTGATACGTGATGGGCAAGTTTACACGGGGCAGAACTGGATTGTGTACCATGGCTGGCCTACGACGCTGGGCAGAAAGCAGGGAGCCAACAGATAGAGGCGGGGGCTGGGGGTGCAGGGGGCGCGCACGTGGGCAGGATCCTGCTGGCTGGGCTGGGTGGATGGCAGAGGCGAGGCTGCTGGGTCCTGTCCTCCGCTCCCCTCCCTCTCTCAGTCTCTCCCACTCAGGGAAGAAATAAATAAAGCTTTAAAACGTCAGGGGGAGGAAGCAGGTGAAGAGCAAGATGCGCTAACTACAGGTGACTGCCACCAGGGGGCGCGGCATTCTCTGCGGTCACCTGAGCTCAGTTATCTCCATGATACAAAGTTAGGCCGGGAGACAGCCACATGTAAACCAACCAGTAAGTTCCTAACCCTCTGTACGATTTCTTAGCCTAAGTAATGATTTCACACAGCTCATGTGTGCCTTAACCCGCTTAGATCATCAAGAGACCAGGCCTCTGTACTTGTGCATGAGGCGGCCTAGTCCCGGGTGTCAGGTCCCTGAAGGAGACAGGCGGGGAGTGTGTGTGCAACAGAAGGTGGACCGGTTGGGCAGCCTCCCTGTCCTGCCTCAGAGGGTGCCTCCCCTCTCCCTAGGCTCCGCCTATCTCTCCCTAGGCCCTGCCTATCTCTCCCTGGGCCTCTGTGTCTCCCCAGCACAGGGCAGAGGAGTTCCTACACCTATGTTCCTTGAAACCTCCTGAACCTGCAGACACTCTGAACTCCCTTAACTGGCATGCAAGGCGGTCTGGGCTGGTTGTGCCTAGAAAGACAGAGCAAAGTCCTTCCCTGGAACCAGCAGACACGACCTTGCTTGGAGATGGCATCTTTGCAGATCAAGTGAAGATGAGGTTGTAGGATGAGTCCTAAAAGCCCCAACATAACTGGCGTCCTTATGCAAAGGGGAACTTCAGAAGCAGAGACAGGCAGGCTCAGAGGAAGGACTGCGTGAAGACAGCCATGTGACAGCAGAGGCCAACCCTGGAGTGACGCGCCAACCAGCCAAGGACAGCAGACTGCAGAAGTGGAGCCGCGGAGGAAGCACAGTCCTGCTGACACCTTGATTTCGGGTTTTCCAGCCCCCAGAACGTGAGACAACAGATCTGTTGCTTGAAGCCACGCAGGCTGTCTACTTTGCCAAAGCGGCCCAGGAAGCCAAGCCAGAGGGCCTCTGTGATTCAGTCCCCAGCCCCTCCAGTGTCGCCTCTTGCCACCACCATCCCCTTCACTCGGTCCTCTCCAGCTGGGCTTCCCGGGTGCTCTGTGCCTGCCCCCACGTCTTTGCCATTCCCACCCCCTCTGCCCCCCACCTACATGTACTGGGCTCAGGCCCTGCGCTCTCACTCCTCCACAGCCTTCTAAAGGCTTATTCACAAGGACTCGGTGACCACCCCCACCAGGCTGCTCTCCCAGCAGCTGCCGTGCACATGTGCTGGGATTTCTCCAATTGCCTTGCAATGTCCGTCTCCCCCCAGACGGGGAATTCTTCCAGGACACCAGGCTCATCTTTCACATCTCGGTTTCCCAGTACCCAGCAGAGGTGCCGTGCCCGAGGTGCGGTAAACGGGACAGCAGTAGCAACAACACTGTATTGACAGTAACCATGAGCATTGCCCCATCTGTCCCTCAGTGAGCTCAGTGACCAAATATGCATTAAACAAGCTCAGGCTGGGGCCGGCAGGTGGCATAGTGGTTAAGGCTCTGGATTCCCACATGGCCAACGGCGGTGGCTTGAAACTCATGCCAGGGATGTGTGCGTACCTGCCCAAAATCCCAAGAGGAGAATGGAGGAGAAGGGCTTGTGGCGTGGCCATCCCCCTGGGGATGGGGCGTGATTTCTCAC